GTTAGTCGTGGGTGGTTGGCGGGTGCTCTGGTGTGGTTTGCTTCTTCTTTCCTATCAAACGTCTATCGTCTTTATCTCCCCTCCTTTTTTGTGTTTGTTACTCTCTTGTAACACCTCTAGTCTTCGGCACTGATATGATCTTATTGTGTTAGAAGTGCCGTAAAACACTTACTAAAACTTTTTTTTTTAAACGTTAGTCACTCTTTACTCTCCTCTTTCATTTTTGGATGTCACTGTCTAGTTATACCTCTGATCTTTGGCACTTATGTGACCCATTTGTGCGGGTGGTTGGAGGGCGCCACGGTTAGGTCCTACTTGTGGGTGGTTGCCGTATGCTCTGGTGTGGTTTGCTTCTTCTTTCCTATCAAACATCTATCGTCGTTATCTCCCCTCTTTCATTTTTGCGTTTGTTACTCTCTTGTGACACCTCTAATCCTCGGCACGTATATGACCTTATTGTATTGCAAGTGCCGTAACACTATTACTAAAACTAAAATGCTAAACGCAAAAATAACATGAGGTATCCGTCACTGCCGCTGTTGCAAAGTAGATCTACATGCCAGGCTCCCTGGTACTGTGTGTGAAGTTGTTTTGTCGTCTAGAAAATGTTCACATCCTTGTCCCAAGCCTCAAACCCCACTTCTTCTCTCTCTCTCTCCCCCCCCCCCCCTGTCTATCTGTCTGTCTGTCTGTCTGTCTGTCTGTCTCTCTGTCTCTCTCTCTCTCTCTCTCTCTCTGAAAAACCCGCAAACAAACAAACCCACGTGATAACAAACCCATCAAACAAGCGATGAGGAGGGGGCTTGTTATGGATTTTGTTATTGTTGTTGTTGTTGTTGTTTGCTTGTTTTTTAAATGTTGCTTTAAAAAAATCTAAAAACAGTCGTGGATCAATGTTCAAAACTCTCTTTCTCTAAGTTAAATCGACACAGAATAGTAGGCCTATGCTTCTGATCGAGTATGTGATTGTTGGGTTTATTTGTTTTTGTTTTTGTTGTTGTTGTTTTTATTTTTGGGTTGTTGGTTTTTTTTGGTTGGTTTTTATCTATTTTTTAAATTATTATTTTTTGGCTTTGTTGTCTCCTCTTCCGGGGTTTCGTGCATCTTGATTTCTTCTTGTTGTTGGCTTTTGTTTTTTGTTTTTTTGTTTGGTGGTTGTTAGTGATGGGTTTTTGTGTTGTTGTTGGTTTTTTTTTTTTTTT